GCGGGAAGATGAGCCACACACCCACCTGGAGTTCCCAAGGATGCGGGATGGATGCCAGGACACATCTGCCCAGCTGCTTGAAAGTGTCAGGAGAGAGCCAAGGACAGAGCCCACCCTCAAAACCTCTGCTTCTGCCAGGTCCACCCAAGCCTGGCTCACCAGCGACGCTTTCATTCCTTCTTTACACTAGGGATTGAACCCATGGATGCTTTACCACTGAACTACATACACCCCCTAGTCCTGCTTTTATTTTATTTTATTTTATTTTTCCCCTCTTTTGATACATAGTGTCTCTAAATTGCCGAGGGTCTCTTAAAGTGCTGCTTTTGGCCTTCAATTTACAATACTCCTGCTTCAGCCTCTTGCGTCTCTAGGATTACAGGCGTATTCCCCTGCGCCCAGCCTGAATCATACTTTATGTGTGAATTATATCTCAAAGCTGTTTTTGTGAATGAAGGCAAACACATTTTTAGATACTAAACAATGGCGAATTTATTTCCAGTCGACTTGTATTATAGCCAAAGCTAAAGGAAATTCTTCAAGCTTAGGGGAAATGATTCCAGGGGGAAACTAGGACCGTTGGCAAGGAAGGGCGATATCAGAAATAGTAAATTACTGAGTAAATAAAAATAAAAAAGCTTTTTTTCCTCTTAATTTTTTAAAAATACATCTATTAAAAGCAATTATTAGAACATTGTCTTCTGGAATTTAAAACTTATTTAGATGTAATACATACACTGCTACTACAGTGTTAAAAAATAGCAGGGCATGGGTGGTAAATGGACCTCTAATGGATGTAAGGTCTCCGCATCCCATGTGAAGAGGCACCATATTAACTGAGTAGGCTGTAAAAGTCAAAGATGAATATTCTTAACTTTAGCAAGAATTAAAAATTAAGGCAAGGGCTGGGAAATATATATAGCTCAGGGGTATAGTACATGTGCAAAACCCTGGAGTGCCCCTCCTCCATACCTTTTATTTATTTATTTATTTATTTATTTTGCACCAGGGTTAAACCCAGGGGTGCTAAACCACTGAGCCACATTCCTACCTCTCCCACCTCTTTTTTTTTTTTTTTTTTTTTTTACAGACAGGATCTCTCTAAATTGCTGAGGCTGACTTTGGGGTTCTCCTGCCACAGCCTCTTGAACTATTGGAATTACAGACTTGTGCCACAGAAACTGGATCCTGCGAACTCAAACTACCAGTTCTACCCCACAGCCAACACAAACTGTTGATAACCTATGGATTCTTTTTCATGACTTGACCCCAATCTTCTTCTCTTGACCCATTTCATACTCAACATTAACATTGATCAGTTTCTGACCTAGCAATTTATTTTCCCATTTATGGCTTTGTGTTGTTGCCCTTTGGACTTGACACTCAGTCCTACTATTCTGATTAAACTATTTCTTTTACCTCAAACTTTTTGGGGGATTTGGATTCTGTCTTCCACTACTCTTACAGATCTGTCCTGAATTTTCATTTCATCTCTCAAGCATCTCAAATTCAACATGTACCAAGTTGAACAAATTCATCCTTTTATCCCAACTTCCCTATTCTGTTAATGGTACTCCTATCTTCCAAGTACCAGTCTCAGACCCCTGTATCATATTCATCTCCCTACCCAATATCAACCCAATTATTCATTGAGTCCCCTCTCAGTACCCTGGGTTAGGGACTGGGGATACAATGGTAAACTAAAAAAAGTCTGTGTCCTAATGGAATTTATATTGTTTTAGGTCTGGTCAGACAACAAATTAGCAAAATCCTCTAGGTCAGATGGCAATAAGTACCATGGGAAATATAAAATGAGAGAGGTAGGCTGGAGGTGTGGCTCAATGGTAGAGCACATGTGTATTATGCACGAGGAGGCCTTGGGTTTGATTCTCAACACTGACAAAAAAAAAGTAGGAGTACCTTTTGGTTTTGATGAGGATGTCTGCTGGGAAAGAGAAGTGTGCTCTTTTATATGCGATGGTCAGGTGACAAGAGGACTTGAATAGAGATGAAGGTACTAGGGAGGAGGGAGTGAGGTCTACAGATTTCTGGGGCAGAGTATTGTACAGCTAAGACCCTGAGGAGGAAGCATGCCTGGCATGTGTGAGGTCAGTGAGGAGACCACTGTGGCTGGAGCTTGGCACCCAAGGGAGAAGGGTAGTGGGGGTTGTTGCCAGTCTCTCCCCTTCTTCTGTTCCCCTCTGTCCCCTTCTCTGCTCTAGTTGTGACTCTGTTTTCCTCTCTGGATTGGTTTATGAGTTGTACCACTCAAGTTCATCTTCACCCGTCCATCCAGCCTGTATTAATCTTAAAAAGAGGATTCCTGGGGCAGGGGATATAGCTCAGTTGGTAGAGTGCTCCCTTCACATGCACAAGGCCTTGGGTTCAATCCCGGCACCACACACACACACACAAAAAAAAGGGTTCCTGCCAGGCACAGTGGAGCGCACTGGTAATCCCAGAGCCTAAGGCAGGAGGATAGCAAATTCAAGCCCAGTCTGGCTAATTTACCAAGACCCTAAGCAGTTTAGTGAGATCCTGCCTCAAAGTAGAAAGGGCTGGGGATATGGTTCAGTGGTTAAGCACACCTGGGTTCAATCCCTAGTACCAAAAAAATTGAGGGGTTCTTACCACACCACTCCATCTCTTTCTAAAGCTTCACTCCCTAGCATTGGAAACATTGCATAATCTATCCTCTGCTTCCTCTTTTTTTTTTTTTTTTTGGTACCAGGGATTGAATTCAGGGGTGCTTAACCCACTGAGCCACATCCCCAGCAGCATTTTTTTTTTTTTTTGACACAGGCTCTCACTAAATTGCTCAGGGGCTCGCTGAATTGCTGAGGCTGGCTTTGAACTTGCAATCCTCCTGCCTCAGCCTCCTGAGTTGCTGGGATTACAGGTGTGTGCCACCATGCCCAGCTCTGCTTCCTCCTCCTCCTCCTTTTTTTTTTAAAGCTGTACTTTAAAATATGTATTTTATATATAAAATATTATATATATATATTAGTTGTAGATGGACACAATACCTTTAATTAATTAATTAATTTTTATGTGGTGCTGAGGATCAAACTCGGTGCCTCATACCTGTTAGGCAAGCATTGTACCACTGAGCCAGCCTTCTGCTTCCTTCTTGAACCTTATCTGTCATTCTCAATATCTGTGCTACCCAGAGCTTCCCATGTTGCTCACTGTTTCCTTAATGTAGAATGCCTACCCTCTCAGTCTAGCCCAAGCCTTTGCTGGAGGCATAACAGACTTCAAGAATATCTATAAGACATCCCTTTGGCCTGACTTCCATTTAGGTGTGTACTTGCTTCACTTTATCCTCCTAATCAGATGATAAGCTGCAGAAGGTATTTTATACATGTTTGTTTTTCCTCTTCTCCTGTGTCCTGTACAGTTACTGTACCTTTTGGTTTTGATGAGAATGTCTGCTGGGGGAGTGTGGGTGGGGCTTCTTGTGTAAATCCAGCCTCCTCCACTAAAAGTGCCAGTCTCACCTCTTGGGTTGGAGAGGTTAGTCAAAGAAAGAACTGATGGAGCTGTGACCAGAGACTTGCAGTGAAGCAGTTCAAACTCAAACTCAACTCTGGACCCAACCAGAAGACAGTTTGGGGGTGCTCATTAGGGCATGTTTGTAGCATGCTAACATTCTCCCCCCTTTTCCTTCTCATGTTCCAGTCTACACTTTTAAGTGCCAGGTGTGTCTGAGAAGCAACTAAAGAACCAACCCTGCCAGATGTAATGATGCACACCTGAAATCCTAGCAGCTTGGGAGGCTGAGGCAGGAGGATTGAGAGTTCAGAGCCAGCCTCAGCAATTTAGTGAGACCCTAAGAAACTCAATGAAACTAAATAAATACAAAAAGGGCTGGCGATATGGCTCCGTGGTTAAGGGCCCCTGGGTTCAATCCCTAGTACTAAAAACAAAACAAAACAAAAACCCAAAATACAAAATAACAACAAAGAAAGAAAGAAGGAAGGAAGGAAGGAAGGAAGGAAGGAAGGAAGGATGGAAGGAAGGAAGGAAAAGAAAAAACAAAACTCAGCCCCTTGACCCTCAGGAGTTTATAAATCTATAGTTGATTAGGTGCTCTTAGTGGATAAGGAAACAATTCACCTGATTAGTTTTTTATTGTATGTCTGTATGTAAATGAGAAATGAATATATAAAATGATAGTGGTGTGTGTGTGCTGATAGACAAATCATGGGTAAACAGGGTACAGGAGGGAGCTAGGAATAGACTCATCACAAAGCTTGGTCAAGTTATGTTCTCTCCTACTTTGATCTCATGTCTTTGTCAGTTCTGCTGTACAGATGACCATAGACTGGATGGCTTAAACAACATTTATATCTCACAGTTCTGAAGTCTGAAAGTCCAAGATCAAGGTGCTGGAAGATCCAATGTCTAGTGAGGACCTGCTTCCTGGTTTGCAGGTGGCTGTCTTGTATCCTCAAGTGGCAGAAAGCAGAAAGAGGAAACTATCCTCCTGCCTTAGGCTCCCGAGTCACTGGGATTACCAGCGTGCTCCACTATGCCTTCTCCCAGCTCTTCTTAAAAGGGCATTAACCCCATTCCTGAGATCTCCACCCTAATGAAAGAATTACAGCCCACAGACCCCACCTCCAAACACCAACACTCAGGCTTCAACATATGAAATTTTTTGGTGGTGGGCAAAAACACTCAGCCCTAGATCCTTGCCTAGTCTGGGATAGTCTTTTTTTTCTTCTCTTATCCAAACTTTGCCCAAAGACCACACCTCCTCCAGAAAGCCTTCTGCAAGGACTCTGTTCTTTATTAACCTGTTTTGAATACTGGGATTAATAGCCTTTGGTACAGTTTAGAGCTTAACGGTGTTCTTAAAGTCTTTGTTGCTGTTTCAGATGATTTTCCAACTAAAAATTCTTTTTTATTTTTTTTAAATGGGAGGAGCCACTGCAATGGCTAGAATTTATTGGAAAGAAGAAACTTTACAGCATATTCTGAGTGAGTGCAGAGGCTCAGTGGGCAAACTGGTGGGGAACCAGCTTGTAGTGCGTTCCACAATTTGGGCATCGCTGAGTCTCGCCTTTGTGCAGCCAGAACCAGATTACAGCACTGTTGTCCTCTTCACAGATGCAACCCACAATTCGCTTGTTGGTGATGGATGGGACTAAGTTAGGGTCTTCCTTGGTGCCTGAAGCTGCCTTTGGGGCAAGTATATTGTATGG